TATATGATATTCGGTTGATCATATACGTATGTGGTAGAATTGCGGATGAACATATATGCATGTATGTGATTGAATATGCGATTAGATATTTCTAATATGAGGTTGTTTGTTAAGTGATATTTGTCTATCATTTTTATGTTTCATCGTAAAATCAATGAATGACCAATTTAGGGTTTGTATGTATTTTGTGCAATCTTTTTGAACTCACTCAGTAAGAGTTGACACTTGTGTCTTTTCTCTTTTGTGACTTATGATTGGTGTAGGCAGGTTAGGAGTTTGGCATTGGTGAGAGGGGTTACTTATAGGTAGTAGATTTTTATTATAGACACCACTCTTGGACACGTTTTTGATTATTTACTTTAAAGTACTTTTGCTTCCGCTACGTTTTAATTGGTTTGGATTTATGATTTCGATTTTGGAGTAACGTGGTGATTTGAAAATGTTTTGAAATAAATAACCAAGTCTTCCGCTAACGTATTCTATTAAACATTGCTTTAAAAAGAAAAAAATATGGTAAAAATCACGACGTTACAAATATATCCGTAGTAGTTATCAGATGTATTGATTATAAGATTAATACATTTTAAAAGATTGATTGCTACTAACATTTAGTTGGAGATGTAGCTCTACTGCTATGTGAAACTATAACCAATGCATACACCCAAGAGGGATCTGAGTCCATGTACGAAAGCAAAACAAAAGAGAAGGCATCCATGACAATGAAAGTGTATTTTGACTATTTTCACCAGTGAACCCTTATAATCGGTTTATCAATAAAGACAAAAGTTTAAAGGTAAAAAAAATTATAAGACATGATTGTTGGTGTTAGGAGAGCAATGGTTAGAAGGAAAAAAAACCCAAACAATTTCATAAAGATAGACAGCTGATTGAATTATTTTCACAACTATGGGTTTGTTGGACACTAAGTTTTTTTTTTTAACTTTAAAAAAAATGGTTTGTTTGGTTCTAGGAGTTTTTTAACTTTTACTTTAAACAATAACCTTGAATTCAAAAGTTTCTTCAAGTAGCTGGGGGCTTTTAGCTTTTTGATTTTTAATTAGTTTTACACCTTTAAAAACTAACAAGGAATATTTCAGTACAATTAAAAGCAATAACTTTTGGTTACTGTCTATCACTTTCCAACTAGTTTTGCAAACGTACCTTATATATATATACAACCATTTGAAGAAAATGTTGGATGGCAAACCCATTTTCACAATTTTGACTTGACTTTTGAAGGCTCTTAGTGGCCTTTTTTTTGCACTATTTATTAGATAAAATGTATTAAAAGTTATCCAAGATTGATATTACCAAAAATCAAAACGAGAATACTCTAAATCCTAGTTTTTTTTTTTTACTCATTGGGCATTTTTGGTAGATTGAAATAAAGTTACTTTTAATTATGTTGTTTGTTTGGTATTAAAATTGAAGATAAAAGAAAAAAAATGAATTTCATTTCCATCCATATAAGTCTTTATTAATTATAGAGAAAATGTGCAAATAGAGAGAAATAAACACCTCCCAAAAAAAACTGAGAAATGAGGAACCCGGCTCCCATCGGTTCAAGCCCAACAGCCCACACCATGCATCTAGTGATTTCTTTATGCTTTGATTTTGGATTTTTTATGCGTATGTCGGCCCAGCTCTTCTTCTGTGTTGGATTTAGAGGTGGGCAAAAGAACCGGTTCAAATCAATCCAGGAAAAATGCACATGAACCTAACATGTCCTTAACCTGTCCTGGACCAATCAGTCCTTTAGCAGTCTAGCTGAAACTTTGACTCGGTCCTTAAAGACTGCATATGTGGCAGTCCAACACAGGTCCTAGATTGGTCCAAAAATGAACCGATTCATAAACAAATGATTTTGGTAGCCCAATTAAGCATAGGCACCTAACTCTCATTTGTTTTACTTTTCTTTTGTGATTTGGAGCAGCGGCCTTCTTTCCCATTTTATAATGTTTTCACTTTCCCATTCTTATTTGATTCACCGATGTGGGACAAATTCAAACTTTGCTTTTAGTATTTATTTTTATTCAACCAACTAATAAGTAATGAAAATTAGCTACTGGCTAGAAAATAGAAATGCAAAATTGTTTTTTGCTGATTTGTTTTGGGCAATAAATATAATGCAACCACTAGAATTGTCAAACGGCTATAATCTTCTTTTTTCTGATATTTTATACTTCTAAATACCCTATAAATATTCATCATATCCGACCATTTTTCTCACCTCAAATTCTCTCCTTCTCAAAATGTCTCCCAAAATGTCTCCGGATTTACACTACAAAAGCTTGAATCCAATTTTTAAGTTTTATATATTAATGATATGTTGAAGTTATACGTGTATTTATGAAGTTATGAAATGTTAAAATTATTATATATGTACTTGATGGATGATGAATTAAAATGTTATGAAATGTAGCGAAATATTTTGGAAAAATTGAAGTCGGACCCGAAAAAATCTGAAACCAAACCGAAAAAAGACCCGTATCGGACTAGTTTAGAGTGAAACCAATCCGAAAAAAGACCAATCCAAAAAAGGACGGGACCGAAAAAGGACCGACCAAGAACCGATTGGGACCGGTTTAAAAAGGATCGGTCTAAAAAGGATCGGTCCAAAAAAAAAAGACCGACTTAGGACCGATCTAGGACCGGTTCAGGACCGATTTCGGTGCACCTTGGATTTGTTGTTATTCTTGTTGGACGATATTGATTACGTTTACAATTACTGAATTACATGGACTTTGTATTGCAAAGTTCTCTTTGACCAAAGGTGTTGCAAAAATTTCCGGTGTTGCAAATAATAATGTGTGAAAAGCGTTTCACCTAGATCCTATTTGCCACGTTGTTTGAAGATCATCTATGCAGTTTATCCTTACGTATCTCACCTTGTATTCATGTGTTTATATGGTTCCTCAATCAAAACTAGAGCAACAGTTGGAATTACAAGACTTCGAACACTCCCCTTTCATTCGAACTTGGACAATCTCATGTGGAAGCAAAATTCCACATGTTTTGTATTGGTAGACTCTTTGTCATAAATTATTAAATTAAATCATTAAATTAGCCATCATATAAAAGCTTGGTGATCGAGAATTCGTAGATGTCGTTAATAACCAGATATACAGGAGGACTTGGGAGCAAAAGAAACACCCAGCTGATTCCTGTATCAAATATCATGCTTGTGTGTCGTCTCTAAAATGCTATGCAACTCCTAGTGTGAAGAATGGGTCAGAAAGCTATGGGAACTTTTGCAAAACAAGGCGACAAAAGGACTATCTATTTTAGTTGACTTATTGACTATATGTAACGTAAAACAGGAGTTGTGGAAGGCAAGTCAAGAAAAGTGCTTACACGACCCGTGTTGATATAGGCCATATCCACAGTTCTGTTCGTTCTCTTCTAGCCAGATCTTTTATTTCTTTGCATCATCCTCGTTTCTTGTCAAAATCGCTTCAAACTTTGACCATGAACTATTCTTTGCATCCACATCTAGGCCCGACAATTCTCGATACGACCCGTGACCCGATATGAAACCGACACGAAGATAAATGGGTGTGGGTTGAGTTTTTCAACCACCAACCCATTTATTAAACGGATCGCATGAGTTTGCCAAAAAATAACTGGGTTGACCCGTGACCCGTTTATGATTTCAATAAAAAAATTATATATTTTTAAAAAATCTTTTAATACATTAGAAAATGAACTCCATGCACTGCCACATAAATAAATAATAGGACAACAAACCAACATTACAAAAAACTTTATTCAATTGTCTTTATTCATTTTTCGTTTTTTACATATTGTTAGTAACACTTACAAATATCATTTATGATTTATGTCCAAAGTCTCATTTTCGCTACCACTTTTAAAACTATCCATGCCTGCTTTTTTGTTATACTGTTTTATATTTTAACTTTACCATTATCTTATAATATTTGTTAGTAAGAAATATTTTATTAGTTGATTGAAAATTCAGTGCTGTTGTAACAGTGCGAATGGTCTTGATATTTCTTTTCAAACTAAAAACTTGTACTAAACATATCTTTTTGTTTTTGTTTTGTTTTTTGTTTTTTGTTTTTTGTTTTTGTTTTTTGTTTTTTTGACAAATATAACTTTGAAAAGAATACAATGCTAATAAGGTCTTTAGAAATATTTCTATAGTTAACTGAAAACCAAATCTAACCCACGTATCCGAATCTGACCCGCCAACCCACAAACCCGTATAAATAAACAGGTTGACGGGTCGTATACGGGTTTATGTTCCAAACCCGTGACATGTATAGTTAAATAGGTCATATTCGGGTTGGTCTATTTTGAGCAGCCAACCCACGACCCATCAACTTGAACATGACACGATTGTCAGACCTATCCACATCCATCCATGCTTCCTTTTAAACATGAAAATCAACTTGATATGACCTGTTATTTGAGACACAGATATTCTCCAAAATGGAGTAAAAACTGTAATTCTTATTCCATCATTAATCAAAAAGACATATTGAAATCCTATATATATAAATGTTAATAGATAATATTATCCTAAATTAAAAGATATTAATAGATATCCAAATTTAAATAAAGATAGCTACTACCTAATTTGAATAAATAACTAAATAATTACTAATTAGTCAATAGTCTTGACCTGGTTGCCGAGTCGTATCATTACTCCCTCCCAAACAAACACCATGTCCTCAAGGTGGAAATTTGGGTTCTGTAGTTGAATATTGCTAAAATTGTGGATCGTCTCCTAATTCCCCATAATTTTCAGTCTTATCTTCGTTGGCTTGGTTTTCATCGATCATTACTCCTAATCTCATTGCGTGTGTTAGGCCCTCGGGTTGCATGACCCTTACTGATGATCTGAGTTTCGGTAGCACATTGATGAAAGTTCCTTCCAAGACCTGGTAATTCGCCCAGATGACCCCCATCTTTTTGAAGGTTCCCTTATACGAGAGTTGAAATCATGCTAAAAGTCTTTGTTTAAGTGTCGCCCAAGTCTAGAAAGGTATTCGAATTTCATTCGATCTATACAAAGCTAGTGTCACTCCCTTCATGCATAAGGAGGTTGTCTTGAGTTGTGTCGTGCTTTTAATACCTTGGATCTCATAGTAGCGTTCCACCCGGTAGATCCAACCATGGGAGTCTTCCCCATCGAATGTGGGCATCTCGATCTTCTGGAAGTCAACCTGTTTGAAATTACTGCCATATTTGCCATTGTTTTCTTTTTCTTCTTCCTTTCTCTTTCCCTTCTCTTCTTTCAATGCATTGATTTTATTATCAGAGCCCTCTAATGTTCCCCATTGGAATCCCTTGGAATCTTCCTTCTTTTCCTCTTCTTTGCTGTCCAAGCTTCCTAACTTAACTGACAAGTCAGTGATAGATTTCATCACCTGGTGGAACCGCTGTGAATTAGCCTCCCGATCGTCTTTCAAATCCTGGCGGAGTATAGCCAAGTTCGTCTCCAACCGCGTGATTCGATCAGTGTTGTTCACCATCTCGATACCCTAAAAATAAAAACGATGAACAGTAACCTGTGAATAGTGTTGTTGTGAACAATATTTCCGATGAACAATTAAAGTCGTGAACAATACTTCCGATGAACATCACCGATGTGCATAATACTCCAATGAATAATGATTTTGCCAGAATCGTTGCTCTATACCAATTGATAAGACATGTTATTTATTTAAGACACAGGGATTCTCCAAAACAGAGTAAAATCTCTATAATTCGTATTCCATTATTAATCAAAAAGACATATCGAAACCCTATATATAAGTGTTAATAGATAATCTTATCATAAATTAAAAGATACTAATATATGTCTTAATTTTAAATAAAGATAGCTCCTATCTAATTTGAATAAATAATTAAATAATTACTAATTACTCAATAGTCTTGACCTAATCGCCGATCTGTATCACAACCAAGAATTGCATAGATCTGGATATTCCACCAAAATCATAAAATGTTCCAAACATAACTTAAAATGAATGAATTCAATGCTAAAATGCGAAGGAATTACAATATTTAAATATGGTAAAAGATGCATAGTGCATCTAACAATGATTCTACTTTTGCTAGTTCAATGGTGAACGCATATTTATTGTACATTTTCTATTTAAGAAAATACGCCAAGTGTTTTTAATTTATTATTTACTAGTTTATAACCTGTGGAAACCACGGTTATAAAATTAATTAAACTTTTATAATAAAAATTTATAATTATTAATCAATTATTTTAAATAAGTCATTTTAAATAAATTATTAATTCAGAGATATATCAAAAGGAGATTAAAACTATTCATTTATTAGAATGAGGAGTTGTATTAGAGTGACACTTGGCAAAAGGAGATTAAAACTATTCATTTATTAAAATATGGATATGCTTGAATTAGCAGAAAACTGAAAGTCTAGAACAATACGGTTACATCGATTAATTAAGTTTTCAACTAGACAACATAATTACGGACTTCATTTAGAATAAACCATGTAAATCCATACACAAGAAAGAAAATCTTAGTTTGGGTTGGGCTCATATAAATTTTAACTAGAGTGATAAAGTGCCTTTGAGAGCGCTGGTGTTCTTTTTGAAAGTGCAATTTGTTCTTTCACCGACTCTTCTTGTGTAATTCTTCCTCTATTAGTATTTGGTGATCTAAGTTTTCATACATTCTTCTCCTGGTGGAGTACTTTCGCAAACCTATATATATATGAGAAATATTCAAATGAATATCATAAAATGCTTTGTATATATGTTCTAAAATATATGCTAATTAAATATAGTTATACGGGAAACATGAATATACTTTATTAAAGCCATCTCGTTGGTGGTGTAAGGATGGTAAGGCTCATGTTTGCCCGTGTCCAAGTTCACTCTCGTCACTTGTTTTTTCAACAACTCTTGTCCCACTTTCACAAGATTTTCTAAGTTTTCTTGTGCTGCCAAATCCAAAGAAATTAAGTCCCCGCTTAAAGTGTCATCCTGATATCATTTTAATTCGCTCTGTCATAATATGAAATCTTGAATCTTTTTAAAATACAACGGAAAGGAAATATAGTTACCTGAATACGAATATAATTTTCTTGTGAATGAAGGGCTTGAAAGACACTATAGATATGATAGTCAACCATATCGTCACTCGCCTGAGTAAATACCTCCACCAATGGGGTTGAGTCACCACTGGTCAGCCACCTCCAAACCCCCCATCTTGATGACTCAGTAGCATCATACTTTGCTTGAACTTGTTGTGACCCAGTGCCCAATGACAATACTAGAAATCGTCCATATTCTGTTGCATTTATTGGGTAAAAGTTTGAATTGCCTCTAGTTATTTCATTTGTTACTTCGCTTATGGCAACCAAAGTCTGCAAAAAAAAATAATTAAATAAATAAATAATAACATATTTAACTTAAACCACATATATAGCTGAGTAATTATTAGTGAATAAGACATATATACCGGATTGTTGGCTGCTATTCCACCATCGATAAGATTGAATTCTTTAAGTAATTTTTCTTTAGAATCTTTTGTTTTGAACGAATATGGAGGAAGATAAATTGGGGCAGTTGATGTTCCAATGCATATATCGGATAACTTAGCATCAAGATTTGGGTTCTTCTTTATCTAATAAACATGAATATTAATATCATATGGTTATCTTAAAAGGGTTAACTTGATGTAAGAGATAGCAAAAGAGTTTCATTTTGTATTATAACATTCTGCTCTCATATCGATCTATTAAAGCATTGCACTTTCTATCATACTTTAAAAATCTATTCAACTATAATAATATACTTTCAACGTTTTCTTATTAAAATATTATACTTTTAAAAAAACTAACCAATTATAGTGCCTATGAAAATTGTTGTGTATTTAGATAAAGTTGCTATAATTGATAGATTTATTAACATATAATGTTGTAATTTGAAAATCAAAAGTAAGATGCTATAATAAATAAACCAATGAAAGTGCGTTTATTTTTTCTTGCTTTTAACCTCTTTTGAAGATGTTAAAAAAAATCATCCTCTTAATTTCAATGTAAGCATTTTCAGGTTTGAAATTGATAACTTGATGGTTTTTAGAGGCAACAAATGTATAAATCGATGAAATACCTGGAAGCTTGAGAAGATCATAGGCTGCAAACATTTTATGTCAAACGTTGGAATCACGACATTTGTTAATGTTTCGTGAAGTTGTTTTTCTTTTAGTGTTTCTCGAATAACTTTATGTAGGTGTTCACCATCATATTTTGGTCCCCGTAGAGCTTTGATCGCTTTTTTAACAGCACCGAGCCGACGGTGTCTCCTACACAATGTAAATTAAAAATGAAGATTTAAGACATAACTAACCAATTATTAGGGAAATACTACGTGAAAAAAAAATTCATTCTTCACACAAAAATGGGAGAATTAGCGATGTACAAAACCGTCCACCCAATTGTTTCCCTTCCATAGGGACAATTTCATATATGCCATTCTTAAACATCAAAATATCATATTTACCCAATTTAATTTCTAAATATCATAATTACCCTTCATAAAATTTCTAAATATCATATCTACCATTCATAAAATTTCAAAATATCATAGATGACCTTTTTAAACATCAAAATATCATATATGCACTTCTTAAATATCAAAATATCGTATATGCACTTTTTTAAACATCAAAATTTCACTGATAATATTTAAAATATCCTTCATCTACAACATGATAATAATCAACAACAACAAAAACTAAACAATTAAAATATACATTCCATAGAGTGGGTTGAAGATGAATATTTTTGTTTGTCAAGAGGGCAACATTCCAATAATTTAGAAGTTCACATTTCTTTATCATAGACGTAAGGATAATATAGTTAAAATTTTTAATTATTATAATAATTCTAAGGTATAAAAATGATTATAAAATATTAAAAACAGCATAAAAAAGGATTTGGACAAATATGATATTTTGACGGTTTATGAAGGGTAAATATGATATTGAGAAATTAAATTGGGCAAATATGATATTTTGAGGTTTAAGAAGGGCGTATATGAAATTATCCCATAAAAAAATGGAGAAGTTCAACAACCAAACATTTGAATGTTCAAGATAAAAATCATTGAGAGATTTTAGGACTATTTCCCATTATCGCTACAAGAAGTGTCACACGTTAACTAATTTTGTTTTGTTGTTAATAATACATACCTTATATCACGTGGTGGAAAGATTTTAGGACAATGTTGAAGATAAAAATCTTTAATATCCTTAGCTGCAAAAATCGGTCGATTATCTACACCGGGAGTAGCTAACATAGTCGTCACCAGACCACCAGTGCTTGTCCCGGCTATCACATCAAAATAATCTGCCAGTCGTGCATTCTTACCGTCTAATTTCTGTCATAATTATACAACCTCCTCATATTTTTTCTATGGTTCTTGCAAAGATAAAAAGAATAATTCAAGTAACTAAACTTAATTATAAACGATATATACCTGTAGTTCAGTTTCCAAAAATTCAAGGATGACACTTGGAATGATGCCTCGTACTCCACCTCCATCGATACTAAGAATTGTGATTAGGTTTCCATATCTTGGTGGTTGCAATAGTGATTGAGGTTCTGCCGACATGATAAAACAGATAGAGAACTAATAATGAGTTTTAAGGTGCGAAGTTGATGAGGTGATTTATATTGTGTAAGGGTATTTATAATATGATATAAGTTTGGAAGTTTTGAATTTTATGTAATTGAAGGAAGGAAGTTCCATGGCAACTTGCAAGTTCGCTAAATGAAAGAATCATAATAGTAATTATAGATAGATGTAGACATTTCTCTCACATAACTAAGACAATTTTTATATGTAACCCCTTAAATGTGAGTGTAATAATGCTTGGCTGCATTTTTTCTTTTTGCAAACTTCGAAACTTTATAAATCTTTCATAAACTCTTTTTGAGATGATTTGTTTTAATTGTATTCCATTAATATATTACATTCCAAATTTGGATGTAGGTTAGTCATATTGTTTTAGCTCCAAAATAAGTGTGAAAGATATATATATATAGATATATATATATAGATATATAATATATATATATAGATATATATATGGGAACGTTCAATCGAGAACATTTCTTATCATGAGAACATTTGAAAACAAATTTGGACCACACAATTTTTTAATTAAAATTATAAAGTAATATTCATATAAATCAAAAATAGTTACAAACAATTAAAAAACCCACTAACTAACACCACTCACCACCCAACCAACACCACCCACCACCACCACCCGCCACCACCACCCATCATTAACCACCACCACCACCCACAACCCATCACTACCCCCCCACCACCACCACCCACCACCAACCACCACCCGCCACCATCATCACCTCCTACCACCATCACCACCCAACCACCACCACCTGCCACCACCACCCACCTCCACCACCCATCACCATCACCTGCCACCACCACCCACAACCACTACCTACCACCCATCACCACCACCCGCCACCACCACCCATCACCACCACCACCCATCACCACCACCTGCCACCACCACCCCCACCACCACCACCACCCATCACCACCACCACCCATCACTACTCACCACCACTAACCACCACCCACTACCACCACCAGCCACCACCACCCATCACTAACCACCACCACCAACCACCACCCACCACCTATCACTACCCACCACCACCCACCACCACAATCACCACCCACCACCATCACCACCCAACCACCACCACTCGCCACCACCACCCACCTCCACCACCAACAACCACTACCTACCACCCATCACCACCACCCGCCACCACCACCCACCACCACCACCCATCACCAACCACTACCCACCACTCATCACTACCCACCACCACCGCCACCACCCACCACCCACCTACCACACCACCACCCACACCACCAACCACCACCGCCACCACCACCCATCACTACCCACCACCCAGCACCACCACCACCACCCATCACTACCCACCACCACCCACCACCACCACCCGACACCACCATCACCACCCACCATCTTCACCACCCAACCAACACCACCCGCCACCACCACCCGCCTCCACCACCCACACCCACCCACCACCCACCAAAACCACCACCATCACTATCACCACCACTTGCAACCACCCACCCACCCATCACCACACACCACCACCACCCCGCCTCCACCACCCGCCGCCACTACCCCCCCCCCCCTCGCCCCACCTACAAAGATTTGTTATTGTGTTTTTGATTCATTAGTTCTCGTGTATATAATCACATGTGATTATATGTATCGAGTCACATGTGATTATATGTATCAAATCATATATGATTTATATGTTATTAAATATATATAATCATATGTGATTAAATACAAGTGAAAAACTAGTGAATCGAGAATGCAAAAATGAATATTGTCCACGTAAATCATACGTGATTAGATACATATAATTACGCGTGATTATATGTATTTAATAAAATATTATTTACGTGGGCAATATTTATTTTCGTGTTTTCGATTTAATAATTGGCATCGTGTATTAAATCACATGTGATTATATGTATTTAATCACATATGATTTACATGGTCAATATTTGTTTTCACGTGTTGATTCAATAGTTGTTCTTGTGTATTTAATCACATGTGATTATATTTATTTAATCACATATGATTCGTATGGAAAATATTTATTCTTGCGTCGATTCAATAATTGTTCTAATATATTTAATCACATGTGATTATATGTATTTAATCACATATGATTTATGTGGACAATATTCATTATTTCTTTCTCAATTCAATAGTCGTACTCATGTACTTAATCACATGTGATTATATGTATCAAATCGCATATGATTTATATTGATAATATTCATGATTCAATATTTTTTCTTATGTATTTAATCATATGTGATTGTATGTATTAATCACATATGATTAATGTGGAAAAAGAAAAACTATTTAATCAAAAACGTGAAAATGAATCTTGTGTACAGAAATCATATGTGACTAAATGTACAAGAACAACTATTGAACAAGAATGTGAAAATGAATATTGTCCATATAAATCATATCTAATTAGATACATATAATCTCATGTAATTAAGCACACAAGAACAACAACTGAATCGAGAACGTGAAAATAAATATTTTCCACATAAATTCTATGTGATTAGATACATATAATCACATGTGATTATATGCATTTAATCACATATAATATATGTGGAGAATATTTATCTTTGTATTCTCGATTCAATAGTTGTTCTTGTGTATATAATCATATGTGATTATATGTATCTAATCACATATGATTTATATAGACATCATTATTTTTTGTCCGTATAAAACATATGTGATTAGATACATATAATCACATATGATTATATGTATTTAATCACATATGATTACAGTGGACAAAGAACAATTATTGAATCGAGAATGTGACAATGAATCTCATCCACATAAATCATATATGACTGGATACATATAATCACATGTGATTATATGTATTTAATCAGATATGATTTTTGTAGACAATATTTATTTTTGTGGTTTCGACTGAATAAGTGCTTTTGTGCAATTAATCACATGTGATTATATGTATATAATCACATATGATTTGAGGTGGACAAGATTCATTTTTTCCTTCTCAATTCAATAGTTGTGCTCATGTACTTAATCACATACGATTATACATATAATCACATGTGATAAAATACATGAGAACAACTATTGTGACGATTATACATATAATCATATGTATCCAATCACATATGATTTATATAATCAATATTCATTTTTTTAGTTTTCGTTTCAATAATTTTTCTCATATATTTAATCACATGTGATTATAAGTATTTAATCACATATGAATAATGTGGACATAATTTTTTTTAATGTTCTTGATTCAATAGTTGTTCCCGTTTATATAATTACATGTGATTATATATATTTTATCACATATGATTTATTGAATCAAGCACATGAAAACAATTATTTTTCACATAAATCGTATGTGATTAAATACACGAGACCAACTATTGAATTAAAACCGCAAAAATAAATAATGTCTAGATAAATCATATGTGATTAAATACATATAATCACATATGATTATATGTACTTAATCACATATGCTTTATGTGGATAAGATTCATTATTTCTTTCTCAATTCAATAGTTGTACTCATGTACTTAATCACATGTGATTATATGTATCAAATCACATATGATTTATAATGATAATATTCGTTTTCTCATTTTTGATTAAAATTTTTTTCTTATGTATTTAATCATATGTGATTGTATGTATTTTAATCACATATGATTAATGTGGAAAAAGAAAAACTATTGAATTAAAAATGCAAAAATGAATCTTAGGTACAGAAATCATACGTGACTAAATGTACAAGAACAACTATTGAACGAGAATGCGAAAACAAATATTGTCCATATAAATCATATCTGATTTGATACATATAATCTCATGTAGTTAAATACACAAGAACAACAACTGAATCGAGAACGCGAAAATGAATATTTTCCACATAAATTCTATATGATTAGATATATATAATCACATGTGATTATATGCATTTAATCACATATGATATATGTGGACAATATTTATCTTTGTGTTCTCGATTCAATAGTTGTTCTCGTATATATAATCATATGTGATTATATAAATCTAATCACATATGATTTATATAGACATCATTATTTTTGTCCATATAAATCATATGTGATTAGATACATATAGTCACATGTGATTATATGTATTTAATCACATATGCTTACAGTTGACAAAGAACAATTATTGAATCAAGAATGTGACAATGAATATTATCCACATAAATCATATATGATTGGATACATATAATCACATGTGATTATATGTATTTAATCAGATATGATTTACGTAGACAATATTCATTTTTGCGGTTTCGATTGAATAAATGCTTTTGTGTATTTAATCACATATGATTTATATAGACAAGATTTATTTTTTTCCAAATAAAATCATATGTGATTAGAAACATATAATCACATCTGATTAAATGTATTTAATCACATATGATTAAAGTGAAAAAAAAATAAATATTGAATCGAGAATGCGAAAATGTATCTTAGCCACATAAATCATATGTGATTAGATACAAATAATCACATGTCATTATATGTATCTAATCGCATATGATTTATGTGGACAATATTCTTAAAACAAGTAATGCCTACATAATAGGAGAGTTAGTGTAACTCACCTCCTTGAACTTGAAAATTAGCTAGAATGAGCAACATGGATCCTTTCCTTTCCAAAAACCTACACACAAATTTATAACATTATTTAGCTTATTTTTTGTTGTATTACTCTTATAATACTTATGTATATATTTTCTTAGTTTCTCTTTGATTGTAGTGCTCTTTTTGGGATCTATTTTCGTACCTTTCAACTCATTCTTAAATTCTGATAAAATAATATTGGTAAAGTTCCCCCTTTTATCTTTTTAGAAATATAAATATCTTGTTCTAATGATTTTTGGTTGATTTTATATTAAATTTACAAGTTAGTAACTTTAAGCTGTCACTTTATGGACCACTCAACACTCTTGGAATAAACTGTAACAATCTACTAAGAATTACATCAGTCCCTTTATATTTGGGAAACTA